AAAATATATAAGAGTTATACTATTCTAGTTATAGTATATCTAGAATAATATTAAATCGTTTTAATAAGATAATTAAGTACTAAAATTCTTTTATATAATCTTCTAAAATAAGTTTTATTAAGATTATATATATAATATTAGAAATAAAGATAGATTTATTATTAATTAATTATAATTTATAGAATTATATTAGTACTATCTTAAATAGCTTATTTATTTTAATAAAAGATATATTTATAAAGCTTAATACTAAAGCTTCGATATTCAAGAGATAATTAATCTTAATCTATTCTATTAATATAATAATTTTTCTATAAAAGTCTAATTAGCGTTTATTCTATAAAGAGGCTTTAATAATAATAGTATACGCGGATAGAAAGACGAAAGCGAGTATTCTTTCTATTTCTAACTCTTTAATTCTTATATATAAGATTTTTAGATCTCTAACGACAACTTAGCTAAGAATATTTAATTTTTTAATTCTTATAATAATTCGATAAGAATATTCTTCTTAACGTCGATAGCTTTTAGAATTATATTAACTTATTCTTTTATTAATAGATCTATATTCTTATATAGAGTACTATTATTACTAAAACGATATTTAATCTTTAAATACTTAAAATATCTATCTTCTTTTCGAATTTTATTTATTAATAATTTAGAATACTTATATTCTTATATATAGAAATTTTCGATAATAATATTATTATTTCTTTTAGTAGAGAAAGTATTATATTAATTATTCGAGGGGGTAAAGTTTTTATAACTATTATTAGTTTTATTAATTTCTTTCTTACTCTTTAGATTTAATATATTATTAATAGTCTATAGATTTATATCTAATATTTATAGAAAAATAATTAATTCTTAAAAAGTATTAAAAGACTATCTTAAAATTCGATATCTTAGATATATAGAGATTAATCGTTTTAGATTAAATATTTTATAGATATTAGTAAATTTTAAGAAAGTAATAGCTATAGAGAATCGTACGTAGTAGTCCTTAAACGATTTCTTCTTATCTATTACTTCTATATTAAATTTAGAATTAAATATCTTAATATTTAATTTAATAATCTTATTATATATTTCGAATATATTATCTAATTCGTCGATTATTTCTTAGACGATTTAATATAAATCTAAGATATCTTTATTTACTCTTATTTTAATAATATTATATATAGTAAACTTATAATAATTTTATATATAATTAATTTTCTTAAGTTTAATAGAAAAGATTATAGCGCTTTATCTAAATTTCGCTTTAAGATATTAACGCTAGCTATTCTACTTATTTCGATTATTAATATTATAGAAATTTAGAATATCGAGATATCGTTTATTTAATTCTATATTCTCTACGCGATCTATAATAGAGATATAGCGTAAATTTCGATAAATACTATTAATAAGAATACTCGACTAACGAGATATAATCTCTATATTCTTCTTATCGAAGTTTTTTAAATTAGCTAATATAAGAGGTTATTACTTCTTTAACTATTACTCTTTACGTCTTAAGTCTTATTTAAGTTTTTTATTTTCTTTAATAAGTTTCGTAGTATTAATGCGATATTTATTATATAAGCCTCGAAGTCTATTATTAGTTTCTCGCTTATAAAATAATTAATTATTACTATTATTTAGCTAGATATTAATTATTAATATCTTTATCTTAGCTTAAGCGATATTATAGCTAAGTTCTTTATTTTATTATTAAAGAATCTTAATATTACGATTAATAGTTTAAAAGCTTTTTATTAATATCTTTAATCTATTATATTAAGTATTAGAAGTTTCGATAGCGCTTTTTATAAAGTTCTATAAGTTAAAAATAAAGATAAAGATTATAGTTAACTCTTCTTCGATAATATCTATAAGTTATACTTCGATATAACTTAAATTAGATTTAATAATATATCTTTTAGAGATAGAACGCTTTCTTTTACGTTATATAGACGATTTAGCTTTATTAATATTTAAAACCTTCTTATCGAAGTTCTCGAGTTCTTCTAAATAATAATATATTTATAACTTACTTATAACGGTTTAACTTTAAGTATTATCTAGATTTAGAGTTAAGAGATATATAGCTAATATTAAGTTAATAGATATATAAAGAAGATTTAGTCTAGAGTCTATTCCTTTTAATATATTAAAGATATCTATTTTTTTTAAATTCTTATTTAATCTAGCTAGATTAGTCTTTATATAAATAAAAAACTTTCTTTTAAATAATCTTTCGAGTAGTAAGCTTCTTTAGCTATAGCTATTAACTTCTTAATAATATACTTTCTTCTTAACTATATATTTAGTATAACTAGTAAATAAATCGCTATCGCTTTAGAAGAAAGATAGATAGTATTATATTAAAGACTTAATAGTATATATAATAACTTTATATTATAATATAAAGAGAATACTATCTATATAGAATTATTATAAGTATAGACTTTATAGTAAGATAGAAAGATCGAAAGGCCTTAATACGCTAAGCTTAATTGAGTTATAATATAAGTAAGTAAGATCGTAAGGTTATTAAAATCGTGATAGATAATAAGAATTTTATACTCTCGTAGATTATCTTAACGAGCTTTTATAGAAAAATTTATATTTATAAATTATTTAAATTCTTATTCGATTTATAAGCGCGTTTTATAGTTTAATTATATTCTATTTATATATTTAAAAATATAAATTAACGCTAAGTACTATCTCTTTTTTAATAATCTTCTTATTAATAATAAAGATTATATTTAAATTCTTACTTCTAATCTAATTTATACTAAGATCGTTTATAGCTATTATTTAGCTTATAATACTTTAAGAAAAAATCTATATTTATAAGTTATTCGAATTCTTATTCGATTTATAAGCGCGTTTTATAATTCGACTATATTCTATTTATATACTTAAAAATATAAATAGTAATTTTCTTATTAATAATAGAGATTATATTTAAATTCTTACTTTTAATCTAATTTATATTAAGATTATTTATAACTATTATTTAACTTATAATACTTTAAAATTCGAGAATTCGAGATTTTATTTTTCGTATTAAAATTATTAATTACGCGTTTCTTCGAATAAGAAGTTCTCGCTAATAAAGGGAATATAAAGAGATTATTATTAGAATAATAAATTTATATATTTTTCGATAATTAGAAAGATAATTAGAATTCTATTCTATATCGAATATCTTAACTCTCTTCTATCTAAGTAAAGTACTTTTAATTATCTTATTCTTATTTTTTATATACTCTCTCTTATTATATATCGATATATTATTTATATAAGCTTTATATCTTTAACTATTAATATAATTCTTTTATTATAAATAGCGTAGAAATTATTAATTATATAATTTATTAATAGAATAATAACTTAATAGAAAGTTAATATATAATAAAATTTCGATATTAGAGTCGCTTTAATAACTTCTTATAATATATTTAATATAGAAATCTAAATTTATATAATATAATAAGATAATAATATTATATTAATAATCTCTTATATTATATAGACGAAAGATCTTTTTAAAAAAAGTAAATTAGTTAATTTCTAATATCTTTTAATCTCTTATAAAGTAATAGCTAAATTATTATTAATTATATATATATATTACTTAATAAAATATTATATTATTATACTTACTTTCTTACTTCTAATATTAATTTTTAATCTTTATAAATAAAGATCTCGAAATACTTTTTCTTATAATCTTTATATCGAAAGCGCGAATAATTAAAAACTTATCTTATTCGATTTTTTTCGTAATTATCTTTTTATAATTAGAAGATTTTAAGATTTTCTTTTAATTTAAAGCTTTAATATAAAGATTAAATAGATAATTATTTAATTAATTATTTATATCGTTAAAAAGATTATTAAGATTTATATTATCTTTTAAATAGATTAACGAAGTATATAAATCGATATCGCTATTTCTATATAACGATAATATAATAAAATCGCTATTAAGATTAATAATTATTAACGATATATTATTATTAAATTAAATTAAAATAAATAAGATAAAATAATTACGATATAAAATATTAATAAGAGAAAATATTTAATTTATAATAAAATACTAAGAAAGAAAGAAAGAGAGAATTTTTATTTATAATTTTAATATCTTAAAATCTATCTAGCGTTATATTAGCGAAACTTATTAAATTTAATCTATTAAAATACGCTATATAATATAATAATTATACTTTTAATTATTATTATAATTATATTAATTAACTCTAAAGAAACTAATCTTTTAGCGATTATATTAACTCTTTTATAATTTATTAATTTACTTCTTAGATTATTATATCGAATAAATTTACTTAAAGTAGTAGTCTATTAATATATTAATTAATTCTTATTCTTCGCGAATAATAACGAAAATCTTTTATATATTATTTTATTTAATTAGCTTTATATCTCGACTTTAAAATTAAATATCTTTACTATCTAATTCTCTTATTTATTATATCTTTTAAATTTTATCTTTTCTATCTTATTATCTTAGTTTTAAAATTAAATATTTCTACTATCTAACTTTTCTTATTTATTATATTTTTTAAATTATATTTTTTTTATCTTATCGCCTTCGCTATTTAAAGCGCTATTACTGGCCGGAAAGATATGATATATTCCATAGGATATTCCATATCAAGTGATATCATATCGTACCCGGGTATGGTATGAGTAGGGTCGGATACCATTCCATTTTTCTGGTATGGGTTCGGGATCTTGGCGGGATATCCCACGGTATGGTATATCTGTGGGATCATACCATGGTATGGTATATGTATGGGATATCCCGGTTGGGATTTCTATATTTAGAAGTATAAGTAACTATTCTAGTCATCATTCTGGCCAACCATGGCTACTACTACCATGGCTACCACTCCCATAGGTGCCACTATCGTGGCTGCCACTACCATAGCTACTACATGATAGTAGGCTATTTCAATAATAAATAGTAGCAGCTATGATAGTGGCAGCCATGGTAGGTAGCCATGATAGTGGCAGCCATGGTAGGCAGCCATGATAGTGGCAGCCATGGTAGGCAGCCATGATAGTGGCAGCCATGGTAGGCAGCCATGATAGTGGCAGCCATGGTAGGCAGGCATGGTAGTGGCAGGCATGGTAGTGGCAGGCATGGTAGTGGTGGCCATGGTAGTGGTGGCCATGGTAGTGGTGGCCATGGTAGTGGTAGCCATGGTAGTGGTAGCCATGGTTGACCAGAATGATGACCAGAATAGCTACTTATACTTCTAAATATAGAAATCCCAACCGGGATATCCCATACATATCCCATACCATGATATGATCCCACAGATATACCATACCGTGGGATATCCCGTCAAGATCTCATATCATACCAGATATGGGATCATGCAAATCTTAATAACCTATATCATATTAGAGTATGATATGGCAGATCAATATCTCATATTATATTATACCTTTCCGGTCAATAAGCGTTATTAATATCGCTTTAAAAAAAAAACTTATTAAAATAGAAGATCTTAGTATTAAAATAAAAGATCTTAAATCTAATAAAGAATAGAGTAAATATAAAAAATATTTTAATAATATTAAAGGCGAAGTTAAAGAAGATTTAATAAGAAATCTTAAGATTTAAGAAGATAATATTATTATTATAGAATATAATAATATAAAAAGATTTTAAATAAAATAATTAATTAAAAGATTAGAATAATTAATTTAAATATTAACGCTTAAATAAAGCGATTTATAATTTTTAAAAGAATAAATAAGAGAATAAGTAAGAGAATAAGTAAGAAAATAAATCGCTATATAAAGATTATTTAATTAATAATTATTATAATTATTAAATAATATCGAATATAATAAATTTTCTAAATTACTTATACTCTTAATTACTCTTATTATATAAATTATTTTATTTTCTATTATATTCTACTTTATAATTTATTTTTATTATATTATTTATTTTTATATTATTAAAATAATAATCTCTACTTTCTTTAAAATTAAAATATTTAAAAATTAATCTTTCTTTTAAAATAGTTAAATTATATTTAATTTTATAAGACTCTTTAATATAGATAAAGCTATTTATACTTTTATAAATATAATTAATTTCGAGATATAGAATAAAGATAAGACTTATTATATATTTAAAGCTTTAAATAAAAATATATTTTTTAAATAATAAAGGAAAATTAAGTAATATATAGATTATCTAAATAAAGATAATATAAAGAAGATTTTATAAGAAACTTTAAAGTTTATAATTATATAGAATTATTATATTAAAATCGATATAAAGATAAGAGAAGAGTTAAAAATAATATATTAGAAATATTCTTATATTATTTAATATTTATTAATAAATAATAAAATAATAATTTTTTTAAATAACTTATAAATAAAGTAGTATTCGAAGTTAGCGTTAATAAAAGAATTAAAAAATTTAAAAAAATAAAAACATTATTAATAAAGTATAAATAATAATACTTAAAAAGATAATTAAAATTATATTAATTAAGTATAAAATAAATATTTAATCTTAAAAATTAATAATAATATACGATTTTAATATATCGAGATAATTAAAATAATTAATTTATTTAAGCTATTATATCTCTATAACTTTTATTTTATTATATTAATAATATTAAATTATAAAGATTATATCTTTATCTCGATTTTATTATATATTTATTAAATTTTAATATAATAAAAATTAAAATCTTAGTTTAATATTAAGAGATTCGTCTTAAATTCTTAAATATCTTTTTTTAGAATAATAATAAAATTTCTTTATTTTATAATAATTAATTTTTTAAGAATAAATAGAGCTATCTCGCTATTAACGCGTATTTTATTAATCTTAAATAAAATCTCTACGAAGTTCTTTTAGTTTTTTAATATATTTCGAGTTTTTATATTAATAAAAAACTTATTACTATTATATAAAAGAAGCTTAAATTTTATAAAATCGAATATTTAATCTCGATAATTACTATCGATAGCGCTTTTAATAATAAAATTATAATTATAAATATAAAGAAATATTTAGAGAAGATATTTAAGAATATTATTTTATAAATTAATATTTAATATAATTTTATTATAACGAAGTTCGATTATCTTTTATATTTAATTTATATTATTTAATTAGCGATTAAGAATTTATTTAATAAAATTTAAATTATTTTAATAAATAAGAAATTTTAGAATATATAAAATAAGAGTATAAACTTTAATAAAGTTCGAAAAAAGATAAATCTAGACGTTTTATTAATATTAGCGAAAATAAGATTTCTAATTATCTTTATAATTAATTTTAATTATTAATTAAATATTATATTATAAATTTAAAAGACTATTATTTTTATTAACTCTAATTCGCTTTAAAAAGAGATTTTTAATAATATTTAAAAGAAAAGAATTAAGCGAGAGAAGATTAAATTAAACTATTAATTTTATAATATTTTTTAAAAAAAGAAATCTAATATCTTAAAGATATTTAAAGTTTTTTAAAATATAAAAATAAGATAAAACTTTACGTTATATATATTTATATAATATTATTAATTAAAATTAAATTTAAAGAGTTTTCTATAAATTTAAATACTCTATTTTTAATTTAATAATTTAGAATAATTATAAATTAAATGTTTAATTAATATTATTAAATTATTTTATATCTTTATATAGTTAATTAATATAATAAAAAAATTAATTATATATTAAGTCTTTAAGATCTATAATAAATTCTTTAATTATTTAAAAAATATTAAAAATCGATTTAAAAAGAAGTATATATTATAGAAAGTTATAATATATAAATCTCTAAATATAATATAAAAGAAGCTTTTAAAATATTATTAATAAATTTTATTTTTTTATTTAAGATCTCTATAATAAAGTTATATTATTAAATCTTAAAATAAAAAATAAAATCTTTTACTCTTAATAAGAGATAATAAATTAAAATAAATTTTATTAGAACGCTTTTAAAGAGGATTTCGATAAATATAATAAAGATTTTATTTAAATAATATCTTAATTTATTAATTTTATAGAATAGCGATATAATCGCTTTTAAGACTTAAATATTAATTTAAATATATCTTATAATAATAATAATTTAATATTACTTTTTAATAAGTTTAATTAATATAAAATAAAAGATAAAGTAATATTCTAAATATTATTTTAAGTATTAATCTTTAAATTAATAGCGAATAGTATTTTATCTTATTAGAAATATTATTAAATATTAAAAAGAATTTAATAAGCGCTTTTTAATATTAAGTTATATATTTTATATAATTTTAATATTATTAATCGCTAGAATAAATAATAAATATATATTTAATATTATTAATAATATTTATCGAAATAATTAATATTTCGATTTTAAAATATTCTTCGCTATAATAATAATTAATCGCTATTTCTTTAAAGAAAATCTTAAAATATATTATTTTATAAATTTTATTAAAGATTATAATTTTATTAAAAAAGAGTTTAATATAGAAATTAAGAGATAAAAAAAGAAAATTAATAATTCGCTTAGATATTAATATATTAGCGATAATAAAAAAAGTAAAAATAATATAATAGAATAAATAATAAAAGATAATATATTATTAATACGCTTTTTATTAATAAAATTAAAATTAAAAGTTAACGCGTTTTTAATATAAATATTATAAATAAATAAAATATAGAAGAAATTATATATATTAAGATCTTTAATTATTAATAATTAAGCGATAATAAGAAAAAGCGATACGATATTAAAAACTATTAAGAAAATAAGATTAAGAATTTAAATTTAAATAATAAATAAGAATATAATTAGATAGATTAAGAGAGTAAGATAAAGTAATAATATAAAAAATAAATCTTTAAAATAATAATCTTTAAAAATTAATAACGAAGATTTTTCTTATAAATATACTTATTTAAATTTAATAATAATATAAATATAGTTTATTTATATTTAATAGTAATTATAATAATTATAAAGAATATAAAAAAAAAATTATAATTAATCTTATATAATTTTTAAAAATTATTTTATTATTAAGAATATTTTAAAATAAATATATTTTAATATTAATAAGAAAGATAATTAGAATTAAAGAGTTATAAGAAATATAATTAAAATATTTTATTTATTATAAATATACGCTAAATAGATATATTATAATAAATTATTATATAAAAGTTATTTTTTAATATTAAGCTATAATTATAGAGTTAATAATATAATAAGATATATCTTAAAAACCCGCTTTAAATCGAGACGAGGTCGAGGTTTTAAGTTCCCTCGAAACCTCGATCCGAAACTCTACCCCAACCTCGACCCCTCTCGAAATCCTATCGATATCCCTCGCTTTATTATATAGCGTATCTATATCTAAGTAAATAAAATATTAGTAAAATAATATAATATAATTAATCGAGAGCTCTTAAATCGAATTAAGTCGTAGACGCTAAAAACTCTAATTTAATATTAAGTAAATTTCTTTAAGAGATATTATATAATCGATATTAATAGAGACTATCGACGACGATAATAAGATTTATAAATAACGCGCTATAGCTTTAAAAGATATTTAGATATTTATTAATAAGAGAATTATATACGAAAGACTCTATATAATATAATTAATGATCGATATAGATTTAAGAAATTAATTCTTAAATCTAAAAAAATAAGGCTATTATAAAGATATCGAACGATTTTAATTCGATTAAAAACGGTATATTCGAGATAGCTCTATTATTTTATAAGTTAATTCTTTATAGATAAGACTTTTTAAAATATTATTTATAAAAATCGTTTACTAGATCTTAATAATTTTCGAATTTATCGTTATTCGTATTATATTAGACGAGATTATTATCGAGACTTTCTTATTTAACTTTATACTTAAAATGACTATAGATTAATTTAAAGATAAGTATTTCTTTAATAATCTATTCGATCTAATTATTAATAGTAATATATTTTAACGAAGAATTTATCTATTCTAGTAAAGAATTATTTATTACGAGATTTAAGAGATTAAGATAAATTTTAATATAATTCTTATACTTAACGAAAGTTCTAGATAATATAAAGTTCTTATAAGATCTATAATTTTAAATAGATTAAATCTCTTATAGTTTAATTTATAAGAAGAGCGATTAAAGATAATATTCTTATTACTTAAAAAGATCTTAT